GACTGTAAACAACTGTGCTTCGCACTGAGGCTCCAGCCTCCCCTCTACACGGACCACCGCCAGCTATGTCATTTCATAGGCAGATGAAGCTGGGTGAGGAATCAGAAGGACAGCAAGCGATGGAGTCATTCTGTGCTGAGTAACGCAGTGATACATCCTACGTCACATACTCCAGCTTTCTCCAGTTAAGAAGGACATGTACTCAAGTGTTAGCTCCTCATCTGAAAGCGTGACATTTTTCTAGGGCTGTTTTAATTTATTACAGTATTTAGCATATCCATGGTGCCATGGAAGTTGGTGCCAGGTTATCTCAGTGCCATAGTCTTTGGTATTCAATGTATGGACATGCTCCCCTAACACATGTTTACACATGTGCCAGCTTTCTTCAGGGCCCTGCCCGCGCTCTCTGCCCCTATGTAATCCCACACCATTGACTTCCCAGCTGACTGACTATGATGGGATGACCTGCTTCATTTACATCCTCCCTCCGCAGGGGTGGGAGTGGGGGCTGTTTTAGTTCCCAGGAAGGCCAACCTTGAATGACTCAGATGCAACACTATTTCCCAGTAATAAAAGCCCAGCTCCAGCTGTTGGCCTGAGGGTGGGAGCCTGTCATTTCTCAACAGAGCCTTAAAAAGATGTAGCCCTGTGAAGCTCCAAAACAGAAATGTGCTGCAGGTGTCCTGCAGACCTCTGCTGTCCCCCATCCGCGCTTGGCTTGTCACAGCTCACCGCCTTCCCCATCTTCATTCACTCCAGGGAAAAAAGCCAGGTAATGAAACACCTTCCTTTTAGGATGCCTTGATCTCTAAGGTGCTGGGGAAAATGTCCCCAATCTGGTGGAGTTCTAACTCAGACTTTGTTTTCTACATTGAGAACCATTTCAATAATAGAAAAGCATGAAGCACCACAATGTGTCATTTTCTCCGAAAATAGAAATGACAGAGAAAATGTCCATTGTTGGTGGCCTTGGATGGAACTCAAGCCTCTTAGAGAGGCTCCTGTGGAGGCTGCCTTCCTCCTGCTGGTAAGTGAGGGTTGACGGCTGCCAGGCACATGCAGCTAGGCAAACACTAGGCTGAGGCCTGCAATTCCTGGCTCTTCTCTTTTGTCTGCGGATGTTGCTGTGGGTATCTGGGTGTTCATCTTCCTTCTCCACTGTCCCCATCTCTACATCTGGAGAAAGCTTTTTCCCTTGTTTATGCAAGGCCATTCTGAGCAAGTATCACTCCCCTCGGAATCCTTTCCTGAATAAATGCCACCCATTTCTCAGGAGTCCGAGCTCTCATTTTAGCACTTAGCTCCTGTCTGATGCTGAGAACATTTCCAAATGTTTTCCACTGGGACCAGGTAGTGCTTATTACTCATGTTTCGAAGCCCCCCTCTCGGCATCAGCCTCTTTGCAGCCTGCCTCTGCTGTTGTAAAACAGCCCTCCTGGTGCCACCTAGGCAGTTGCTAAAGCTCACAGCCTCAGGAAGCTTTAGATAGCTTCTTGGATCCCTTTCTGGAAGGTTCCAGGGCCCTCTAGGCCACAGCACTCCGAACCCCACCTGACCAGCCCCTGGCTGCTCCCGTTTCCCACAGTCTGCTCTGACACCGTGAAGCCCCAGCGGCCTCCTTCTCAAGAGAGTCCTAGAAATTAATGATAGTGGTACATTTCACATTGAAATGCTAAAATAGCAATCAGTGGAACTATTTCCCTGATGTGCAGGTCTAAAGCGCTGTGTTGAATCAGAAGCCCTGCTTCAATTCATAAGTTTTTAAGCCAACTCATTAAATCCTTAGGAGCAGCAGTCCTCAGAGACTCCCTTCACACACATGCCCTGCTCATCCTGTCCCAGGCCGGCCCTGTCAGGGATGCTGGTTCTTGTACCTGCCTCGTAACTACCTCTCAGGGATGTGAGAGGCAGCTGCGATAGAGAATATGTATAGAAAGAAAACAAAGGAAAGAAAGGAGAGACTGTTCTCCCTCTCCTCAGAATGCAGGATGAGTCACTTTCCCAAAGGTACACCCCAGGTTCATCCCAAATTTAAAGGCCGCAGGCTCTGGGAGATTTCCCTTGGATGATACCACTATTCTCCATCTTGGCAGTGCTCAGTGACGTGTGGGAAATGGAAGAGAGGCAGGAAAAACCTAGAAATGTGAACATCCGGATAATCTTGAAAGATCCTTTAAAATATACATATATATATATGTATATGTGTGTGTGTAGAACTATAAATTTTATATAATTGAGTGTTGGCCAACTATGAAAGACAATGAAATTGAATTCTTTTTTTGGTAAATTGTACTTTAAGTTCTGGGATACATGTGCAGAATATGCAGATTTGCTACTTAGGTATACACGTGCCATGGTGGTTTGCAGCACCCATCAGCTCGTCATCTACATTAGGTATTTCTCGTAATGCTATCCCTCTCCTATGTCTCACTTCCTGACAGGCCCTGGTGTGTGATATTCCTGTCCCTGTGTCCATGTGTTCTCATTGATCAACTCTCACTTATGAGTGAGAACATGCAGTGTCTGGTTTTCTGTTCCTGTGTTAGTTTGCTGAGAATGATGGTTTCCAGCTTCATCCATGTCCCTGCAAAGGACATGAACTCATCCATTTTTTTGGCTGCATAGTACTCCGTGGTGTGTATGTGCCACATTTTCTTTATCCACTCTATCACTGATGGGCATTTGGATTGTTTTCAAGTTTTTGCTGTTGTAAGTAGTGCTGCAGTAAACATACGTGTGCATGTGTCTTCATAGTAGAATGATTTATAATACTTTGGGTATATACCCAGTAATGGGATTGCTGGGTCAAATGGTATTTCTGGTTCTAGATCCTTGAGGAATCGCCACACTGTCTTCCACAATGGTTGAACTAATTTACATTCCCACCAACAGTGTAAAAGCGTTCCTATTTCTCCACATCCTCTCCAGCATCTGTTGTTTCCTGACTTTTTAATAATCGCCATTCTACTGGTGTGAGATGGTATCTCAGTGTAATTTTGATTTGCATTTCTCTAATGACCAGTGATGAGAGCTTTTTTTCATGTTTGTTGGCCACATAAATGTCTTCCTTTGAGAAGTGTCTGTTCATATCCTTCACCCACTTTTTGATGGGGGGGCGGTTTCTTGTAAATTTAAGTTCCTTATAGATTCTAGATATTAGCCTTTTGTTAGATGGATAGATTGCAAAAATTTTCTCCCATTCTATAGGTTGCCTGTTCACTCTGATGATAGCTTCTTTTGCTGTGCAGAAGCTCTTTTGTTTAATTAGATTCTATCTGTCAATTTTGGCTTTTGTTGCCATTGCTTTTGATATTTTAGTTATGAAGTCTTTGCCCATGCCTGTGTCCTGAATGGTATTGCCTAGGTTTTCTTCTAGGGTTTTTAAGGTTTTAGGTCTTACATTTAAGTCTTTAATTAATCTTGAGTTAATTTTTGTATAAGGTGTAAGGAAGTAGCCCAGTTTCAGTTTTCTGCATATGGCTAGCCAGTTTTCCCAACACCATTTATTAAATAGGGAATCCTTCCCCCATTGCTTGTTTGTGTCAGGTTTGTCAAAGATCAGATGGTTGTAGATGTGTGGTGTGATTTCTGAGGCCTCTGTTCTGTTCCATTGGTCTATATATCTGTTTTGGTACCAGTACCATGCTGTTTTGTTTACTGTAGCCTTGTAGCATAGTTTGAAGTCAGGTAGAGTGATGCCTCCAGCTTTGTTCTTTTTGCTTAGGATTGTCTTGGCTATACAGGCTCTTTTTCGGTTCCATATGAACTTTAAAGTAGTTTTTTTCTAATTCTATGAAGAAAGTCAACAGTAGCTTGGTGGGGATAGCATTGAATCTGTAAATTACTTTGAGCAGTATGGCCATTTTCACGATATTGACTTTTCCTATCCATGAGCATGGAATGTTCTTCCATTTGTTTGTGTACTCTCTTATTTCCTTGAGCAGTGGTTTGTAGTTCTCCTTGAAGATGTCCTTTACCTCCCTTGAAGTTGTATTCTTCTGTATTTTATTCTCTTTGTAGCAATTGTGAGTGGGAGTTCACTCATGATTTGGCTCTCTGTCTATTATTGGTGTATATGAATGCTTGTGATTTTTGCACATTGACTTTGTATCCTGAGACTTTGCTGAAATTGCTTAATCTTTCATTTTAAGCCTTTTCTGCCTCTTATCCCAGCACTTTGGGAGGCCAAGGCAGGTGGATCACAAGGCCAAGATATCAAGACCATCCTGGTTAACATGTTGAAACCCCATCTCTACTAAAAATACGAAAAATTAGCTGGACATGGTGGCGTGTGCCTGTAATCCCAGCTACTCAGGAGGCTGAGGCGGGAGAATTGCCTGAACCCAGGAGGCGGAGGTTGTGGTGAGCCGAGATCGCGCCATTGCACTCCAGCCTGGGTAACGAGAGCGAAACTCCGTCTCAAATAAAAAAAAAAAAAAGGAAAATCCATGTTCTCTGAGAACCAAAGTGATCCATTTGATGTTTCATTTACTTTTATTTCCTCTCTTAATATTGTGGTTGAATCCAACTTTCCTTAGAAATAACATAGTCCCAAAATGATACACAGAAATACAAAGAAGAATAGTAAAGACCCCTGTGTTATTCCACAGTTAGCATCATCATCTCTGGAGAGCTGATAGTCTCTGGGGGATGATTGGGGTAGATGAACCTGTGTTTTGGCACTCTAACTTTCAGTGGACACAAAAGACCAGTTCTGACCTGGAATTCTAGTGTCACATTCAGTGATCCAGTACTTCGGTGGCTCTTAAAATGGTTAAAGACATCTCGCATGCCATGACAATAAACAGTAGCACTTATGAGAGCCCAAACATGAGCTGTAGGGGCAGGCATTTGGTGTACTGGGGTGAGTCCCATTATCTTCCTTTTCTTGCTAGATCAGCCTAAATATTAAGATACTTCTTGGGCGAATTGGAGGCTGAAACCTTTCTCACAATGACGGGATTCTGAACATTCATTCAGTGTGAATTAATAGCAGTTAGGACTTTGTCTTGCAGCCTGGATTCTTTCCTATATGGCCTCCATGCCCTCTTCAAAGGTGACTTCAGAGTAACAGCACGTGATGAGTGGGTATTTGCTGACATGGACCTACTGCATAAAGTTGTTGCTCCAGCTATCAGGATGTCCCTGAAACTTCACCAGGTAAAAATCTATTTTTTAAAAAAAGTATCACTCACTTACTCGGGAGGCTAAGGTGGGAGGATTGCTTGAGCCCAGGAGTTTGAGGCTGTATTGAGCTCTTATTGGACCACTGTGCTCCAACCTGGGTGACAGAGCAAGACCCTGTATCTTGGGGGGAAAAAGTATCAGCCTGAAACTTTAGGGAAAAAAATGGCCTTTGAAAACTATGGTCTCTTTTCTCTGCACAGCACTGTAATTGGGTTTGTTACTTAGGTAACTAGGCATTGAGGCCGTCTAGATGTTCTTGATGTTGGCCACTGGTGATTTGCCCTCAGGAGCTGCCAGGAGGTGGTGATATTCCACTAGAAAGAAAGACAGGTATTGTGCAGAGTCAATGATGTAGCAAAAATGCCCAAGCTGTATCTAAAACTATCTAAAAGTCAGAGTAACCTAAGCCATGAAGCTCTATTCTAGGCACATTCCATGGCTTAGGGCAATGAGATAAAGACATGTCCTCTGTGCCAAGCTCAGGATTTGGAAAAAGGACAGGAGAGAGGTAGATGAGGAAAAGGCTTAGCTTTGGAGGTCACTGGCCAGTTGCCACCTGCACGCTTCCTGGGGGTGAGGTCCTCTGGTCCTTGCCCAGTCCACACCCACACTTCTTCCCACCAGGACCAGTTCACTTGCCCCGACGAGTATGAAGACCCAGTGGTCCTCTACGAGGCCATCCAGTCCTTTGAGAAGAAGGTGGTCATCTGCCACGAGGGTGACCCGGCCTGGCGGGGTGCAGTGCTGTCCAACAAGGAGGAGCTCCTCACCCTGCGGCATGTGGTAGATGAGGGCGCCGATGAGTACAAGGTCCTCATGCTCCACAGAAGCTTCCTGAGCTTCAAGGTGATCAAGGTATGGCAGCCGCATTCTCTGGGTCTCCCATTAGCTCACGTCTCTCTACCTGAGAAGAAACAGAATGGTGATGGGCACTGACACAGGAGTCCCTGTGCCAGCCCCTGTGCCAGAGGAATGGTCTGGGAGGAGCGCTGGCTGGCAAATGGAGCAGGGCATTGGTACCAGGCTGGGCACTATGTTCCCCTGGCAGGATCAGTCTCTACCTCACAGAGCCAGCACACAGGCACAGACTTTGCCAAGAAGACCCACTAGACACACATGGAGGTGAGAGTCAGCATATCGCTTATTTGCAAAGACTTTAATTCTCTAGAATCCACACCTTTCTCCCATAACCCACTTCTGGATCCAAAGGCTTTGCTCCCAATGGCTCCTCTTTTCATATAGTTTCAAATCACTGAGAGAAAACAAAAATGACTTTCTTTGCATTTTCTCTCAGTTTCCCCATGAAGATGGCATCATATCTGTTTTGCAGGACGGCTCTTCTGGCTTGACTGTGAAAAGAGCTTTACACCAACGTTTTATAGTCACAGATACTCAGTCCCAGAGTCCTCTCACCACAGTTAAAAACCAGTAGACTGGGGCTGGGCATGAGCACTTTGGGAGGCTAATCTCAGCACTTTGGGAGGCTGAAGCAGGTGGATCATCTGAGGTCAGGGGTTCAAGACCAGCCTGATCAACATAGAGAAACCCATCTCTACTAAAAATGCAAAATTGGCTGGGCATGGTGGTGCATGCCTGTAATCCCAGCTACTCAGAGGCTGAGGCAGGAGAATTGTTTGAACCTGGCAGAGGTTGCAGTGAGTTGAGATCATGCCATAGCTCTCCAGCCTGGGCAACAAAAGCAAAACTCTGACACACACACACACGCACACACACACACACACACACAGAGAGAGAGAGAGAGAGAGAGAGAGAGAGAGACAGAGAGAGAGAGAGACTAGAAAACACAGGCCATCTGCCTTCCTTCCTGTTCGCTCTCTGACCTGCAGGTTAACAAAGAATGTGTCCGAGGACTTTGGGCCGGGCAGCAGCAGGAGCTCATATTCCTTCGTAACCGCAATCCAGAGCGTGGCAGCATCCAGAACAATAAGCAGGTCCTGCGGAATCTGATTAACTCTTCCTGCGATCAGCCTTTGGGGTACCCTATGTATGTCTCCCCATTAACCACATCCTACCTAGGGACCCACAGGCAGCTGAAGAACGTCTGGGGTGGACCCATCACTTTGGACAGAATTAGGACCTGGTTCTGGACCAAGTGGGTAAGGTAAGTTTTTACAACAAAGGCCTCTATCCAGATGCTGGGGGAGGGCATGTGGGATGCAGGGAGCTCTGTACCTCTGGTTCAAATTTCACTGTCAACTACCATTTTCTCATATGATTAAAACTGCTACTCCCAAGTGGCATGGAACAGATCATTTGTTTCAGCAAGCAGTCTCAGATTATGAATCTATGGGAAATCTCATATGGATGAGAATCTCTTCCCCCACATTTGCACAAGCTGAGAATCTGCTTGAGCTCTTGCCGGGCTGCCAAGGTTATGAGTCTTTAGCAGTAACTGTTCCACATCTGTTAGCAAGAACCGGAAGAACATCCCCAACACATACTTCTCATTCAATAAGTCTTACCTGGGTGTAGTGATCAGTTGGAATGAATTCTAAGTTTTGCCCGAAGACAGAGCTCCTTATCAGGCCCTGGTGCTAAGGGTTCTTATGAAAGGTTGAGACTGAGTCCATTCCTCCTGGTGCAGTCTGTTTATTTATTAGATGCTGAGGTTTGGGAACAACAGCCCCTCTCCCCACCAGCATCCCAGATGTGCTGCTCACCTGGAGCATGGTCTTCGATCCTGATTTAGGCAAGGCCATGGTGGGGTGTTTAGGGGTATTAGAAATGTATTGGTGAGAATCCTCAACGGACTTCTCCCTCCCACAGAATGCGGAAGGATTGCAATGCCCGCCAGCACAGTGGCGGCAACATTGAAGATGTGGATGGAGGAGGGGTCCCGACGACAGGTGGCAACAATGCCCCGGGTGGTGGCAGCCAGGAGAGCAGCGCAGAACATCCCAGAAAAAGTGGCTTCCAGCACGGGGTGTCATCCTGTGAAGGGACACAGAGAACAGGTGGGTGCAGTGGAGGCCTCTGAACTACTGATAAAGTCCTATTTGGTCCCAGTGACCAATGCCCTGAGTTCTGATGTTGTTCTAACCTCTGAAAGCACCTTCTTGCATGGAGACAATAGATGCCAGAAATTTGCAGACTCTTGTAAGTTCTGCTCAGAAAAACAACTCTCCATCTGTTAGATTCAGCTTTTACCATTTATCCATCTGTCCATGACCTTGGCCAGCCATTCATCTGTCTGCCTCTCCAGGGGTTGCTCCATTCCACTCCATCTCTCACTCTCTGACCGTTTGCTGGTGTGCCTTCTGTGTCTGGCCGTGTTGTAGCTACTAACCCATATAGTGTCTGCCTCCTCTGCAGGTGTTGTGGGGCACACAGACAAGCCTTCTGCCTTCCCCCTCCTGCTTCTCACTGATTCTCACTTTCCTTCACTTACACTCAACATATCAGAGCAGAAGAAAAGAGGGGAAGAAGGGTGCCCACAGACAGGAACCCGGGAGGTGGCTGCAGCCAAGCCTGACTGAGTCTGAAGTTTAAAATCATGCTTAAACTAATACACAAATAGTTATGCTCAGCCAGATGGATGAAGTTCCAAAACTCCACTGGTGGTCTGCGCTGGGGAAGGGGTGGCTGGACTAGAAAAGGAGATCCTGAGGGGTGGCAGAGGATGCACATCCTGGGAACGTGAGAGAGACAGACGCTCTGCCCGGCTCCTGCTGGTCCTTGGCTTTGCCCTCTGAAGCATGTCAGTGGTTTCACCTTTTGGGCTCAGTTCTTCCTGACCATCCAGAAGCGTTTAATAAGCACCTCTGTGCATGCTGCTTCTGTTAGCTCTGCACCAAACCATCCAGAAGCGTTTAATAAGCACCTCTGTGCATGCTGCTTCTGTTAGCTCTGCACCAAATGAGCCAGGAGTTACAGTCCCTGACTCCTGGGAGTGTCAGAGCAAAGAACTGAACAGACAGTAGGATTATGCAAACATGGGCAAGATATATGAGCGAGTGAGAGGCTAGATGTGTAAACCAAAATGTATCTGAGACAGCTTTCAATTAATTTAGAGGTTTATTTTGCCAAGGTTAAAGATGTGCCCAGGAAAAAGAGACACGAGCAACAGAGCCAACTGCGGCTACTTTTTCCAAAGACGGTCTGGGACTTAGGCATTTAAAGGCGAAAGAATGGGCAATAGGGGAAAAAAGCAGGGGTTGGGGGTAGGTGAATGGGGCATTTTGCAACCACTGAGACCAGCCTTTGAGCCTTTGATCGACCTTCGCTGAATCTACATTTTATATATGTGAAAAGAGTGGGTAGAAAAATAGTCAATTGTACGTTCTCCTCCAGCTCTGCAAATGTGCATTTTTAGATAAAGTAAACATAGAATTGAAAGAGTCATGTATGCCTTTGTCCCAGGTAAGCAGATGGGGGACTCCTAGTCCTGTCTTTGTCCTGCATTTGTGAAGATAAGCTGTTAATTGACATTGTCGGGGTGAAACTAAACAGAACTGTTTTAGAGTAAAGATCTTGGGGCCCACAGGAATTTCTTTGCAGGCAAATTATGAGGGAGGCAGTTTTGCGTGTCTCAGTTTCCAGGCTTGGCTTTTTCCTTTGGCATATGAGTTTGGGGAGGTTTTATTTTCCTTTCACAGATGCTAGATAGGTAGATAGAGACTGATTGATAAAGGACAGAAAGGAAGGTAGGTAGGTAGATAGATAGGTTAATAGACAATAATTGGTATCAGCTGCTCAGAATAAAGAAAAAAGATCCCCCCACCCCACCCCACCCACCCATGCTGTTTACTCTGAAGCCCTGCAGGATGCCTGCTGGAGGCCTCCTGTGCAGCTCCCAGGCCTCTCATGTCCCTTTGTTTAGTTAACTTTTCTTATCGCATGAAAAATGTGATTCAAGATCACAGGAGTGGCTTTCTAAATGGGGGAAAATGCAAGGTAGCTTCCAAACGGTGAAATATCTAAGCGTCTGTCATTTGCCAGTACTTCCAGGTAACCTCTGTGAACCAGAAAAAGGCCGGAGTCAGGGGGGTTTGGCGGAGGGTGGGCAAGGTCAGAGACAGGGGTCAGAGGTAGGGGTTACAGAGTCACTTCAAACCTGGTTTCTTGAAGCTTGGCAGAAAAGAAATTGGAGACCAGGTGCAGTGGCGCACGCCCGTAAACCCAGCACTTTAGGAGATCAAGGTGGGAGGATCACTTGAGGTCAGGAGTTCAAGACCTGCCTGGGCAACATGGTGAAACCCTGTCTCTACTAAAAATACAAAACAAAACAAATAGCCAGGCATGGTGGTGGGCACTTGTAATCCCAGCTACTTGGGAGTCTGAAGCAGGAGAACTGCTTGAACGCAGGAGCTGGAGTCGCAGTGAGCTGAAATCAGGCCGCAGCACTCTAGCCTGGGAGGCAGAGCATGATTCCATCTCAAAAAAAGAAATTGGAAACACCTTCTTCCCTTTCTTCCTAGTAAAACAGCACCTGCAACTGGCCTTGCCTGGAAGAGCTGGTGTTCCTTCCCCTCCCTGAGTCCAGACACCTTAGGCAGGGTCGCTGTACTGACAAGATTACAGACAATCACAGCTATCCCTTTTGTGGAAGAGGTTGGAGCAGGATCTTTTCTTTGTTTAGTTGGATTTTTAACTTAAAATTTAATAATCAAACTATACAATCAGCGTATCAGCATAGTTTAAAGCTCAAACAGGACTTCCTAGATTAAAACAAAAATCATGGGCTCCCCCTTCACCCCCCAGCGACACTCCTGATCCCCAGAGGTTACTGCTTCCAGCTCTTGCAGCTGTTTTGTATGTCTTGGGCATCTACCTCCACATATTTAAATGACATGCTTACTCTGGAGCAGGATTCTCTAAGGCCCAAACCAGCTGTTAATTTTTCATGAATGCTTCTTAAAACTGCTCCTGCCAAGGCCACCCCTGGCTTTCTACATTTTACAAGTAAAGGAGCGAGCATGCCTGGTAAAATACCCGACACCCCACATCCCTTAGCTGAACCTGCAGCCTGAGTTTGTCCCAGGCTCTGAGACCAGTTGTTGTCATGCTAGGGGGATGGAGGGTTGGGAGATTCATGAAGCTCTGGGCCAAGCAATGGCTGCTTTGAACTCACCCGCCTTGCTGCCACCTGCTCTTTCCGTGCCCCCAGGTGTATTCACAGCATCCTTGCTGCAGGTGATTATATTTGATACAGTAACAGTTCTCAGGTGCTACTCTACCAACACCATCCTGAGTACTTTCATGAGCAAATTTACTGGGTCTTTACCATGGCATCTTAGAGGTGCAGGTGCTTTCACCCTCCTCATCTTGCAGATGAGGAAACTGATGTATTAGTCCATTTTCACACTGCTATAAATATACTATCTGAGACTGGGTAATTTATAAAGAAAGGAGGTTTAACTGACTCACAGTTCTGCATGGCTGGGGAGACCTCAGGAAACTTACAATTATGGTGGAAGGTGAAGGGGAAGCAAGGCACATCTTACACGGTGGCAGGAGAGAGCAAGAGTGAGGAAGTGCCACACTTTAAAACCACCAGCTCTCATGAGAACTCACTCGCTATCACGAGAATAGCCTGGGGGAACCACCCCAACGATCCAATCACCTCACACTAGGTTCCTCCCTGGACACATGGGGATTACATTTAGAGAAGAGATTTGGGTGGGGTCACAGAGCTAAAACACATTATTCTGCCTCTAGTCCTTCCCAGATCTCATGTCCTTTCACATTTCAAAACCAACCATGCCTTCCCAATCATCCCCCAAAGTTAACTCATTCCAACATTAACTCAAAAGTCAAAGTCCAAAGTCTCATTTGAGGCAAGGCAAGTCCCTTCCACCTATGAGCCTGTAAAATCAAAAACAAGTTAGTTACTTCAAAGATACCATAGGGGTACAAGCATTGGGTAAATGTTCCCATTCCAACTGGAAGGAATTGGTGAAAGCAAAGAGGCCACAGGCCCCATGCAAGTCCAAAATCCAGCTGGGCAGTCATTAAATCTTAAAGCTCCAAAATCTTCTTTGATGCCATGTCTCCCATCCAGGTCACACTGATGTAAGAGGTGGGCTTCCAATGCCTCGAGCAGCTCTGCGCCTGTGACTCTGCAGGGTACAGTCCCTGTGGCTGCTTTCACGGCATGGGATTGAGTGTTTGCGGCTTTTCCAGGAGCACAGTACAAGCTGTTGGTGTATCTACCTTTCTGGGGTCTGGAGGATGGTGGCCCTTTTCTCACAGCTCCACCAGGCAGTACCCCAGTGAGACTCTGGGGGCTCCAACCCCACCTTTCCCTTCCACACCACCCCTAGCAGAGGTTCTCCATGAGAGCTCTGCCCCTGCAGCAGACTTTTGCCTGGACATCAAGCATTTCCATACATCCTCTGAAACCCAAGCAGAGGTTCCTAAAGTTCCACTCTTGTCTTCTGTGCACCCTCAGGGCCTATACCACATGGAACCAGCAAAGGCTTGGAGCTTGCACCCTCTGAAGCAATGGCCCAAGCTGTACCTTGGCCCCTTTTAGCCACACTGGAGTTGGATTGGGACAGGGGAGATGGAACAAGGCCTGCCACCCCCTCCCAACTTCAAAGAAGAAAAAATCCTCTCTCGGTATCCATCTCTCTTGCTATCTTTTTCTCTGGTCTTTTGTGCAGCTCTGACAACTCACAGAATTGTAAATCTCCACAAAGCAAATTACAGGATTGTATTCAAACTTACACCAGTTCACATTGTTCTTCTGTTGAATGATGGCTTCAGCTCAGAATATACCTGTTAGTCTGCTGGGGCTGCCATAACAAAGTGCCGTGGCTCTGGTGGCTTCAACAGCAGGAGCCCACTGTCTGTCAGCTCTGGAAGCTGAAAGTCTGAGAGGCAGGTGTGGGCAGGCTTGGCTCCTCCTGAGGGCTGGAGGGGAATGGGCTCCAGCACCCTTCCCTAGCTTGCAGTGGTTTACTGGCCATCTTCAGCACCCCCCGGCCTGGAGGAGCATCCCTGAGCTCCGGCT